GACACAAGTTGGTTACTCCGTCTTGCATCCCCTGACAATTTGTGTGTTTGATAATGAGTAGTGTTCATCTGTGAAGAGGAAGGTCAGATTTCAGCCTCCTCTTCTCCCACCCGTCCACACACACACACACACACACACACACACACACACACACACACACACACACACACACACACAAACTCTCTGACTCTCCTTTGCTGTCAAAAATGACAGTGCAGAGTCCATCTGTGATTCTTTGTGAAATAAGTATTTCATGTTCTGTGGCTGAATGGGTTCATTCACAGACATTTTTCATTCTACCACCACCACCACCAGCCAACTGACAGGCAGACCAATTCAAGCTTTCACTTCTTTTCAGTTATTTTTTCTCAACTCTAATGTTCCTAAAATCTCTGCAATCTGTTCCTCCTATCTCTCCCTACCCTCCTCTGCAAACTGTGTTGCAGTGATAAAGTCCTCCTAAACAACCTGTCATACTGGAAAGGTTCCCTGTCCACCCCCCCCACCTCGACAGGGACAGGATGTACAGTTTATCCCGGGATGGGGGTGCAGCAGAAGGAGTGCCAACTGGCACAGAGAGAGCTGCCCAGCCTAGCGGTGCTAGTTCCTCTGCAACACCTGCTCCACCGCCCTCCTGCTCCGATACTTGGCCCTGGAATGCAAACCTGTCATTATGCCTAGACCAGGTGCATGCTGTCTGTGTTTGTGTACTGGCTCATGAGGTAGAGCGGGTCGTTCACTAATTGGGAAGTTGCTGGTTAGATTCCTGGCTTCTCTGCTTTTGGCCCTGGGGGCTTTGAATGGGATGTATGAATATCTGACAAGCTGCTTTCAGATGTGCACTGAACTCTGTTTATTTTCCTGATATTATCCGGAGCTGTATGTAGGAACGCAAATTTCTGAGTCAGTTGCTGCAGACGTTCAGAGTCATTACTGAGCGTTTAGTTGTGATGCTTAAGGTTATGGGGCACTGGAAGCATTATGTCAATGAGCATCCTCATGAAGATAGCACAGCAGAATTTGCTGAAGTTGAAAGGAAAGTTGTTCCTTTGTGATAAACATCCAAAATGTTACGAACCCTTAATTACTGTACCTTTTTTCACAATTTATCTTCTTCTTCTTCGAATAAATATTTGGCGATCTTCCTTTGTGGTCCTCTCTTTGCTCAGGGCAGATTACTTTTGATCACAGCAGTCACGACGTGTGAGTTGCATCCCCCGTTTCTGAGCGTGTTTGTTTGGCACTGCCAGCCTTTGCGCTGAGCCTCTCTTAGCGACGCAGAAAGAGCAGTTTCAAGGATTGGCCATTTTCACAGAAGAGCACGGGCGTGCTATGAGGAGGCAGTGGAGGTGACACTACTATTTGTTTGCAAAGTGCTTTCCTCATGTCATTCTCCTCTGTCCTGAACAAAGTGGCTTGGAGAGGGAGATAATGTGACTGGGCTCTCATGGGGAAAGGTTATCTACTGTTCCCTGTCAACTGATAGGACAGGACACTTCAAGTCCCATAACACCCAGATGCTGCCACTAATGATGCTCTTCAAAAACCCCAGGGTCATCAGAGATGGAGAGAGGCTAACACACGCTTGCACCTGCATGACAGATCATCAAACACCGACAGACAGATGGATAGACAGACAGAAAATCACTCTCACACTAACACACACAGCTGGAAAGAAACAAGAGACATCAATTAGAACACACAGCACGAAGCTTCCTGACCTTTTTGCCTGCCATGAGGCCTTCAGAGCACAGCTGTATACTGATGATGTTGGACCCTATTGAGGTGGACAGTGGAGCCAGCTGCTGGTCAGGCCAGTTTGTTGGAGCTGTAATTTACTGGCCGACAATGTTGCAATTTCAGCTGCCACGAGGTTTGATCGTAAAGACGAGAGATTGCCCTAGAATGGCCAGGAACAGGCACGCAAACATCTGCAGACACTTGACCCCATATAAACCCTCGTATAAAACACAAACAGATAACACACTGTGCGCTTTTTCGAGCCCCTGCAGTCGACTTATTCGGACGTGGCTCCTATCCCATGAGCCCATGCCGGAAGAAAACAGCCACCATTAGCCTCGGCTACAAAGCATGGATAATAAACTGACCCGATGATACGACTGCTTACATGCGTAGGAGATGAGTTATTATTTGAGCAATCTGCAATCATTCTCATGTCCAGCGGGACCTGAGTGGGACATGCTTACTTCCTGTTTATACTGGCACACACATGCCCAGTAAGTGGCAACATGACATTCATTTTCAGTATGGTCGTCTGTTTAAAACTGATACGAAGTCAAAACTCTCATTAGGACAGAGATCGACCGGTCGTGTGTGGTGCACGTGCATGGTCAGAGTGAATATAATACAATCTGTAACTTTTTATAGCCATCAATTGACTGAGTCATGTAGTTTTGACTTCATGACACTGCAGTGGTGGCAATAGTTTTGCAGCAGCGGCCCAGAGGAATGGTCTCCCGTCACCTCCCCCTCGCTATCAGCATGTTGCTTTACCTTTGAATCTTGACCCACTTTTCTCTAGGTTTGTTTCTCACATCTTGTTTTTAATTGTGTGTTCCAGTTGTGTTTTTTAATTTGGGTCTTATTCTTTAATCCATTATCAAATACACTGAGCTCTTTCTCTTTCTCTCCAGTAATTTGTTTTCGCGCATATTATCTAGCTTGAAACGCAAATTATCTTTAATAAGCTGTTACAGTGTTGGGGAATAGAGGCTGAATGGTCCAGTGATTTCTGTTTATATGGATTTGAATTGGTCCCTGCCTTAATAAATCTCAGCACTCTGCTTTTACAGCAAATATAGGATTTGCATTAATCATTTTCGAGTCTTGAATATATAAATAATACAATGTGACTCACATACTTTCGGAGTTTTCTGAAATGGACATGAATGTTTAGCTGACTCAAATGTTCTCAGTCTGGCCTGTGGAACAGAACTGAAAACAGTCAGACCTATATGCAAATCTCCACCCACAGTCATAGCGAAAAACGAGGCATCATTTGACACCTTTCTGCTGCTTCACGTACATTATTTAAATATATCTCCACCTGTGGCCCCTCTGCAAGTTGAGAAAACATTATGTGTCATGGGGTTGTCCATTTTATTATTAGAGAATTTATGATAAAGATGGAAGAAGTGAAGAGAAACAGGAAGGGCGAGAAAAAATTACCCAGTTCAGCCGTGAGCAGAAGCAGAAACTGGTGTGTGTCATGGTGGGAGGGAGGGAAGGATTTGAATGGAAAACTAATGAAATCAAGTCAACGCAGTGTGTGTGCATGTGTATTGTGCATGTTTGTGTCTCTGGATCCATCTTTGAAAGTCAGTTTCAGTCACACTCTCAAAATGCTCATTCTTAAAGGCAGTCAGGAGCTGCTGTCTGCAGTCTCCTGCTGCTCCGTCTGCTGTGCCATTCTGCATCACTGGTGCAGGGAATTAGTTCGTTATTACTGTGTTTTACCGCCGTCGTTTGAATTCTTGTCCACCTGGCTATTGATCCAGCTACAGCTGCACCTCCGCTTGCTGTGTGTTTAACTAGGTGCGTGGGTGGTTTGTGCAACAGTTTTTTTTGCTAGCATTGTGTTTACATCTGTCTCTTTGCATGCATTTCACCATCTTACTTCTTTTCATTTTCTTCTCCAGCTGTTTTTCTCAGTATTTGTCCCAAAAGATTTGTTTGTGAATATGTATCATTGCAGGGAGAGCGTGTGTCCTTGTGTCATACGTGCATGTCTGAGAGTGGACCCCCAGGGGTGGCTCAGCAGAGGGGAGGCAGTGGCAGGCCTGTCTGAAATACTTAGGGCAGACAATTCTCAGAGCCCAAGGCTGCGGCCTCACTGACAGTTGAATTATATGGCTCAGCACACAGTCACAGGTGCTTACCTTTGCCACCGACAAACACACATATACCTGCGGCCGTGGCCTGTCATGATGCATCGCTGCTTCACAACGAAAGGTGGGGATGCAGTTCCACACTTTGAAGTGAGCCGACTAGCCAGGTTTTATATTGTTGAACTCGAGGTGCATCAGCTATCGGCCAATCTCTCCTTTTTCTATGCCTGGAAGGAAGTAAGCCACATGTGTGCAGTCCTGAAGAAAATTGCTCAGTGTGAAGATCGTGTCACCTCATCCTCCTCTCGGCTGTTGAGTAAGAAGAGACCTACAGTGTTTTTAGAGATAAATGCAAAGTCATGTGCATTTAAAGGCATCATATGTCTCAGCTAAGCACGGAAAATACGAACAGTCATCAGACAATTTAAAAATCGTCACCATGGATTGGTAATTTCAAAAACTTTTTGGTCTAATGTTGAAACACGCATGCACACACACTTGTAAGCAACAGAATGATAACACGTTGATAGACAAGGGAGGTAGCAGGTGTTCAAATATTTGGCCTTGGCTTGTTTTGTCTGGAAGCTGCAACTGTCTCATGGTCACTAGATTGCATGCACGAACCCAGCACATAAAATAGTCTTAATACACGAAAGGGATGTGTGTGATTTTTCTACTTCAGTTCAGAAATTGTCGCTGTGATGAGGAGGGTGCAGCAGTACAAACTTTCAAAATAATCTGGGGATCTTTTTAAGAAGTTTCTTTTCATGTCTTGTTGTACGCCTCCTCCATATTTCTCTGGCTCATGTGTGTAGTTGTGATGACCACATATCATGTTTATGTGCTGTATATGTATATGGAAACAAGGATGAGTGTGCATGACCTTGGGTTTTTCAAGTGGGAGAGATTGATATTCAGCGCTTCTCTCTCTCTTGACTCTGGTTTTTTGCCTGTGCCTGCTTATGTAATTCACTGAGGGATTTCATCCTGCTGGGCCTCTGCTGAATCCTAAAAGAACTCCACAACCATCACACCCTCGTCCACACAGGGACGACTAATCTGTTCAAACCTGTTCCAACTTATCAAGAACCAAAAGCTGATATGTTAGTGACATCCTTCCCTCTCTCCATCTGTTCCTGGCTCCCTCTCCAGGCCTGAAGACCTACCTGATCTCTGCCAGGAAGATGGAGAGTAACTCTCAGTGTAACTGCTCCCAGTTGGGGTTGGCTGGACCGGAAAATGCAGATCCATGGTGTCCCATGCCCAGAGTGCACACTCCTGATGGAGCCCCTTCGGCCTGCTCTGTGGACCCTGACAAAGCCAAGGTGAGTGCACGGTTTCTCTGAAAAAATCATTTTAAACATCAGCCTTGTGTGTAAAGGAAGTGAGCACATTTCTTCAATCATTGTTTATTGCACATCTATATTTCCTAAGGACGAGCACTGTACTTTGTGTGTGTGGGTGTATCAGAAGCTGTAATATGTCCTTTTATTGTGCTTCTTTTTGTGTCATGTCGAGGATATGAAAACGAAAAAAGAAATTCATTCATATTATTACCATGCATCTGAATTTGTATGTCCATTCCATGCACTTACAGGATTTAACCCTGGGAACCATGCATGCTTATCTTGATTTGCCTTTTCATTTTCTTTGCACCTGTATGCATGCACTCATACAAGCTCATATGTGTCATTTATGTCGTACCTCAGTCCTCATTAAATCCTACTGAAGTGCCCATTTACAGAATTATCCAGCTACTAATTCCACTGATTGTTGCTGTATCTGCCTCTCATATCTCAAGAACTGTTCATCTTATCGCCTTCACATTAAGCATGTGTATTGTAAAGGGCCCAAGCATGTGAAGTGTTGAATTAAGTGTGATTCAGAAACGTGATATGTTCATAACATGTTGTAATGTTCAAAATCTGCATTATTTGTCTCTTACTGTACCTCACTGTTCTCTGTGGGAGAGAAGGACTTTTGCTAAAGATGCATAAAAATAGAGATCTTATCAATTAGGCAGCGAAAAGTGTTGTTCTCCGCAGCAGGCTGTCTACATCATCACTGACCCTGAGTGCTAATCAGCTCAGAACATGTCCATCCATTACGTCCTCTTTACCTCTGCCTTCAAGGGAAATTTTGCATTGACTTTTAAATTGTACCACTAGGTCACGAACTCAAAACTGTGCAACAAATTATTCGCTTATAATTATCCTCAAAACCATGAACCTCTGTACCTTATAATCCCCTCAATGAATCATCCTTTCTCCATATACATATGCCCCCCCCCCACTCCTACCCACCGAATGATCCCTTTAAAGATCTTTCATTTCTCCGCCAGGGCAGGTGGTCGGGGGTAGAGGGAAGAGGGTGGAGGGTGGGAGGCAGGAGGATCAGTAGGGGTCCTGGGTATCGTAATGAGCTAACTCAAGCAGAGAGACTGGAGGCCCTTCTCAAGACTTCCTGCCTACGACTGATGACTCCTGCGTCTCCAGCCTTTAATCTCATGCTGCGGCTCTTACACGAATGCAGATATACGCCACCCACTGCTCGATCGCATTCAGACATCTTCAAAACAAAATCTCGATGACCGTGTGAAAGGATTTGTAGGGCAGGTGTGGCAGAGAGTGTTTGCAATACGGTGTGTGCTTTCTCTGCGTATTATAGTGTGTGTGTGTGTGTGTCAGCTGCTCAGTGTCATGGTCGTACACACCCGCGCCTACACACTTTCCATTGTGTTCGGAGAGGATGAGTGGGATGAAAATCGAGACCTTGAGCCTTTGTGGACCACCTCTAGATTTCTTGTGTACTCTATATCTTACTATCCATTTTCTCATTGATGCTTTTGTTAGCCTTATCCTCATTGAAAAACAAAATTGCCACTTTTTGTGTTCAAATTTCCAGTTTCGTGTTTTTTCGCTGCTGCAACACATCACACCCGATGCGTGTGTTTTGTCATCCCCCAAGACTCTTGATCTCGATCACTGGCATCTTTTCATGTTTCTCCTCTGCTCGTAAGCTCTCCTTGATCTGTATCTCTCAGTTTATTAATTCTCTTTATTCTTCTTCTTCCCATATGTTGTGTCTCCCTCCCTCCCACCCACCCTCCAGTCTCCCTGTCTGTCCTGCAGTGTGGTCCCCATACCAGGGGAGGAGCAGGATTTGGAGGAAGGAGTGATAATCAATGGCTGCCATGACGACCACAAGACCAACAGCGGCAAGGTTAGCCTGATGTTGTTACCTGAACCAAACAGAAGAGACTTTATGCTGTCCATCTAAAATGTTAATTTTCTTTTTAGTTTGACAAGAGTCTGTTGCTATCAAGTAGATTTAATTTCATTATACCTCAAATATTAACAGATACAGGCATTTCAATTGGTTTGTTCTGTACAACAAGATATCTCCGCCTTGAGGGAATTTCTTGATATGTGGCACATATATTCAGTTGGACTCGAGGGTGAACTGATTCGATTTTGCTGGTCAAAGGTCAAGATCACTGTGACCTTGCAAAACTCACGCATGCAAAATCTCAGGAACACCTTGAGGGAATTTCTTTAAATTTGGTACAAATGATGACAACTGATTGAATTTTGGTGATCGAAGGTCCAGGTCTCAGTAACCTCATTTTCTTGTGTACTTGATATATCAGATACTTTGCTTGGCCTCAAGGATGACCTGATTAGAGTTGAAGGTCAAAGGTCAAGGTCACGGTAGCCTCTCAAAACATATCTCAAGTCTGCCTGTAGGGAATTTCTTTAAAATGTGTCAATTGGTTGTAAATTGGACTCAAACTATAATTTATTAGAGTTCAGTGTTCAAAGGTCACAGGGACCTCATATGCATCTGAAACTACACTGGTTGGCAGAGGCTCACAACCACCTGGCATCATATCTAGTTTGTAAATTGAGAACTTCTCTCTCTCACCTCTTTTCCCCTCAGGACGCTTCACAGCTGAAGTGTTCCCCGGTGGTCTCTGCAGGACGCAACCCCAAGGCTCTGAACGGCCTCCTCAGCCCTCGACTAGAGGCCCTGAACAACAGCCAAACGTCGCTGTGTGAGATGCTGCAGGAGAAGGAGAAGAAGACGTGGAGTGGAGGGGTCATGGGCATGGACCACACGGCACTCATCCCTCTGAGATCCAAGAACTTCAGGGAGAGGAGCGACGCCCACTTTGTCGACGTCATCAAAGAGGACAGGTGAGAGTGACATAAGAATAAATGTATTAACCAAATCACTCGGAATATTTCATCTCAGTGGTGAATGTGATTTGATGAACTAACTCTACATCATTTCATTTTATTTCCTGTGACAGCCTTATGAAGGACTATTTCTACAGACCTCCGATAAACAAACTGAGCCTCACCTTCCTGGAGAGGAGCCTGGAGTCTGCTTACCGGATAAGCTACCAGGAGGAGGTGTGTGTTTTTATATGTGTGAGCTATGTTTGTGTGTGGACTTTTGTCTGTTTATTTGATGTCTAATGTGAGATTCAATTCATTATCTACCACTCTACAACTACTGTAGTCATCGCTCTGCAGATGGAGGGAGGGGTGGGTGAAGTGTTTGGATCCACCAAACACTTTTGGAGTTTCAGGGGTAAACAACGTTGCCACCAAATCCAATCCAATCGAAAGAAACTCCAAAACTGTGTTGTGGACTCAAACGCTTCACTCACCCCTCCATCTGCATCGTGGTGAGTGAATTTTCATACTCTTCTGTCCTCTTCCGATCCCATTCGTCCCATCTGTGAACTTATCTGCTTGTATTTGTTTGAGTTTGTCTTTCTGCCTGTTTGTGGTTCTCTGGGCGTCTGGCTCTCGTCTGGGAAACCTGTTAGGACTGAGTTATTATGACCAGACTGGTCAAGACTGCGGCAAAGAGAAATCACTGCAGGACCTTCATACCAGTTTAATGTTAGGTTGTGAGGCCCTCTTCTGGTGTAAACTTAGAAGTGCATTTATCAGTCTCATGGCTGCAACTGTTGCAACGTCGTTGAGTCTCTCTACACTGATGCAGGAGTTGGAATAGATTTTACTTGACTGAAATCAATATGACGTTTGAGAGACTTTTTCCAGCAACACGTTTTTTCTTTTGTTTCTATTCATAATTGCAACTAACACGTATGTCTATCGATATCCATCTTCCTCTCTGTTTTATTGCTTCTGTGTCCCCCGTTTCCCTCCCTCCCTCTCTCTCTTCCCCCCCAGGTTGAGACCCAAGCAGCCATACAGACCTTTGCCAGCCCGACATTCAGTTCTTTCCTGGACATGCTGCTGTGCTGCTCAGTGTTTCTGGCTCTCTCGCTGGCTTGTTTCCTCCGGCCGCTTGTCACCCAGCAGAGTCTGTCCACGCCAGCACTCGCACTGACAGCTGTTGCCATCCTGCTGGAGTCTCTGGCTCTGCTCTTCTCTATACGGTGAGACTGAATATAGAGGCCTTAAAGTACTGACCCGTGGGCCAATGATGTTGCATTTTTTCCAGTTTGAAGCTTTGAGCTTTTGTTTTGGCAAACTCACAATGTACCTCAATTTGACTTTTTGTGAACTGCTCTGAATCGTGCAACTTGCCAACATTATTTCCTCAAATGACAAACTGCAGTCTGTGTCACACCTGATACCAAAGTGTCCATGACTTTATATACAAGAATGAATGCTTAGGAACTGTTTGATAAAAGTCACTTTCAAATATAGGATATATGATAATAAGTCTAGTTTTCTTGCTGTCGTGACATAATTGGAAGCTTTGTGAATACAAACTAAGCTGTAGAGACAATCCCTCAGGAATCACCTTATTTTTCGAGGTAGCGTCAGGCTGGGGTCAAACAGGAAACTCGGGTATCAAACTAACGTTTTGTTTACATTTCTAATCCATCAATAATCTTTAGTCATCTGTTTTTCCTCTCCAGCATGGCTTTCTACCTTGACAGTACACTGAACTGCACTCGGGTGCTGATGAGAGCGATCTCAGGCTGGATAGCTCGTCACTTTATAGGAGCTGTCCTGGTGTCCGTGCCGGCTGTGGCCGTCTTCTCCCACGTCACCTGTGACATGCATCTCTCCATTCAGGTAGAGCCTCTGTCTTTTCTGTTATGAAATAGTGTGAATTACTGGTATTACTGTTTGGCTGCTTCTGACCAGTAAAGCATCTTACCTGCAGTGCTACCAGTAAAATTTCCATCACTGAGTTATCATATTATATATATATATTTAGTGTATGATCATCTGTACACTGCTGGGGTTTTCTGACTGATGAATATTGTTCTCTGTTTTCCCCAGTTCACCATGTTCGTCTGCTGTTCTGTCATCATAGCCATCATTCAGTACTGTAACTTCTGCCAGCTCGGCTACTGGATGCGATCATCTCTAGCAACAATGGTGGGACTGGGTCTGCTTGCCTTGCTCTTCAGCTCCCCTTGCAGGTACATTGTTCATTGTAAAAAATGAATTAAATTTAATAACACAATTTATTGTCCAAAATTATGGATGATAATTAAATCATGTGTTGAATAATTGTGAAATGTGATGATACTGGGTCCGTCATTGAAATCTAAAGCAAAGAGCACAATATACAGCAGATTGTGTGGGATGTCTGGATCACTTGTTGCATTGATTAAGAGCCATTTGTGCTTCATCTCTTTCAGTGTTGCCAAGAGTCTGTTTTTCTGGTAAGCACAATTATTATTACTATTTTCACTGTAATAAAGAAAAGGACATTTTTGCATTTTGCTTTGATTAAAGACATTGCGTCTTTAATATCAATCAGTCAACCAGAATTTATTTCTATGGCTTTTTTTATACAAACAACGGAACACAAATTGGTTTGAGGAATAAAAGCAATAAAAACAATACTGCACAAAAACAGTGTTAACAGGGACTAAGAAAATGCTCATAAATCTAATAATATGAAATGAGGAAACACCAAAGGCAATTATACTAAGTAAGATAAAATCCTTAAGTTAAATCTTGACCGAAATAGGAACGTTGCCGTTTATGGTTTGTGTCCATAGCTCTAAGCCTCTGGGGTGTTCCCAGTTTACCTTTTGAGATAAATTCTTGCCTGATTGGTTTTGGTGAGGTGCAGATAACTTATGCTAAAAGGTTGTGTTGGGTGATTGTTTAGATGCAGCTATAATTCCTGCGTTTCTTCCACCCTCATGATGTCTGTCTGTCTCTCTCTCCACTAGGTCTGATAGACAGAACAACAACAGTAACAGCTCAATTGTCATGTCTGACAGCCCAGTTGACCCCGACCCACAGCTCAACCCACAGGACCTGCTGGGCCCTGAGGCCTGCGTGGCTTTTTTTCTTCTTCTACTACTGGTCTGGTTCCTCAACCGTGAATTTGAGGTCAGTCACCGACTCCATTACCATGGTAACGTGGAAGCTGATCAGCACCGCATCAAGATCCAGAACATGAGGGACCAGGCCGACTGGCTGCTTCGCAATATCATCCCCATCCATGTGGCCGAGCAGCTAAAGGTCACCCAGAGCTACTCAAAGAACCACGACAATGTGGGTGTCATATTTGCCAGCATTGTTAACTTCAGTGAGTTTTATGAGGAAAGCTACGAGGGAGGCAAGGAGTGCTACCGGGTCCTCAATGAACTAATCGGTGACTTTGACGAGCTGTTACGGAAGCCTGCCTTCAGTAACATCGAAAAGATCAAGACCATCGGTGCTACGTACATGGCAGCGGCAGGTCTCAATGCGCAGCAGTGTGCAGATGCGGCACATCCTCACGCCCACCTCCGTGCTCTTTTTGAATTTGCACTGGAAATGATGCACGTAGTGGATGACTTCAACAAGAACATGCTGGGATTTGGATTCAAGCTCCGCATTGGATTCAACCATGGCCCTCTAACAGCAGGGGTGATTGGCACCACTAAGCTTCTCTATGATATCTGGGGCGACACGGTCAACATCGCCAGTCGCATGGATACAACAGGTGTGGAGTGTCGCGTCCAGGTCAGCGAGGAGAGTTACTGTGTGCTCAGTGGCATGGATTATGAGTTTGATTACCGAGGCACGGTAAATGTCAAAGGCAAAGGTCAGATGAAGACCTTCCTTTACCCTAAGAGCAGTGACAGTGGCCCTGTGCCCCAGTACCAACTCTCAGTCTCACCAGAGATCCGGGCACAAGTAGATGGTAGCATTGGGCGCTCGCCCACCGATGAAATTGCCAGCATGGTGCCCACAACCAGCATGACCGCATGCAGTACCAACACTATTGTACCCAGTGCCAGCAGTGGTTCCTCTACAACCACAGGGCTTAGTCAAGAGAAAGAGGCGGGCAGCCGCGAGCGACGCCCCTCTACTGAGGTCTCTCATGCCAGACGATCTATGTCTCACAGCGGCCTGACATCTGTACCTGTTACCAATCTAGACGGACCTCCTGCAAACAACACACAGCTCAATATCTCATGCTCAGTCCAGCAGAATACACCACAAACTTCAACCAAGTCCCCGAAAGACATCAAGCAGAACCAATACGAGGATGACCGTAACGCCGGAGAGTTGACCAGACTTTAAGAATTTGCTTCAGTAAATCATCTACCCTTTAAGCTCTTGTTCCTGCCAGTTGGCACTTGTAGAATCTCTGTACATTTGGTACTGTAAAATCATCTACAGGCTTCATCTCCGCAGGTTGCTTTTAGTGATATATCTGATTGGCTGATGTCATCACTGGAGGGTGCTGGGTAGACTACAAAGAGAGTGTCGGGCAGGAACGGAGAGAACATGGGAGGGTGTGATGGCTGACTGTGAATCTTCTCCTGCCTGCTACATATGCCATCGTCTCCCAATAACTTACTTGATTATCTTTACACCTTTAATCTTGATTATTTCTTTCATATGTCTTTTTAAGTGCCTCTAGAATAGAAGAATGTGTAGACTAAGCATTTTTTGAGTAAGAAAAGAATAGCATAAAGGGAAAACTGTAAACTAGAAAAACCTTTCTGAAAAATAAATGCTTCGCTTTTGTTAAGATTTTAATTTGTAAACTGTGTTTTTGCTATGATATTTTGCCTTTTATCAACAAAGAGCTCACAAAGCTGAGCTTACATATGGAAAATGTTACAGTGTGAACATCACTCCAGGAGATGTATTTGTAAAATCTGCACTAAAATGCAGCGGAGACTGTTTCCATGTTCCTTCATGGAGGCCAGAACACTCACCATGCGATGCACAACATTGACTAATCGACACGGGCGACAGTGTGTGTGAGTGGGTGCTTGTGTAGCAGGATCATGCGTGAGTCTAATGAGGAGAGGTGCCGGTGACAGTGCGAGATGACAAACACTTCAGGAACGCCGGTGTTGCTGAGGTTGATATCTTTGTTTTTGCCTCGGTGGTCTCAACCCCTCTAAATCTGCATGCTTGCAACAACAGCACCATAGATGAGACTGACGACGACAAGTATCTGTGCCCTCCCCCATGATCCAGGCTGTGGTGGGGAGCCAGGTTGTGTTGTGTAGTGGTGATGAGTATTTAATGGACCCTCAGCTGTGACTTTTGATTGATTCCAGACAACAACTGCTCGAGGTTCGCTTTGGTTTACACTGTGTGTTAGCTGATAGTGCTTTTAAGACGTGGATAATCAAAGTGGAATGCTGCAAATCAAAACTAAATGTGTTTCGTTGTATTTGTTGTGACACAAAACTTGAACTCTTATTGTGAAGCTGCCCTCTCTATGTGTATTTTCTATGATTTGATAGGTGTTATCGGCCACAGTCAGCTGGGTGCATTAGTCGCTTCAGTCTCGCAATGGCATGAAACTTAATGTATTAGCACTGTAAAGGCAAAGGCACCAAATGTATTTCCTATGACTCCATAATTGTTTTTACTCTTTTTCTTTGACTTAATTGTATTCATGTTGAGGAAATCAAACTAGACTAAACTACACATCTCTTGCTGTTACATTTTCTCTCTGTTCGTTTTTTAGCAGAAAGGATTGTGTGCTCAGAGGCAAAAAAGTATAACAATGAAATCCACTTCAGTGACTTATTTTTTTTGAATAATTAGAATCTCCTGAACAGCACATTAACAACCTCATTTTTTTTTAAATGACTTTTTCACAATCATCACTTTTGAATAATAAAGCAAATAAGGTTAATACTGCAGAACAACAAAAACAAATTGCTTGCTTCTATCAAGCCGCTTTTAACATAACCTAATAGTTAAATTAGTTGTTGATGTGTGAAATTAGGGAAGCTTGTGCCTTTTTAACTCATTTTTTATTTTTACCATCACCTCTGAATTGATTTTTATTTCTGAAAAAGCTTACATTATATGGAAATGTTTACTTTTGTGCTTAACGGTCATAACTTTTGAGCTGTGCCTTTCCTTCATATAGACAATTCATTGTAAATGTACCAAATGTATTCTACATTAGCTGGACTTATTGCATTTGTTGTATTTCTTTGTGTATTTCATTTTGTACTGTATTTATTTTGTCTGATGATGGTTAGTGGTTGATGTAAATGCAATAACAAGAGCTGAACATCACTGATTTATGAGGGAAAATAAGCTTCTTCTCGCTCATGGGCACTTGAACAAGCCCAAAATCTGTGTATGTTTTGCTATAATAAAGGGACACTAATGATAATTGTTTTTGTTTAAAAAAGGGTAAGTTCTTAATAGAGGTCTTCATACTTGAGTGTCAGGTAAGGCGCATAAGCTAAATTTCTTTTTTGTTCTTGGTAATATTGTTTGCTGTATTCGAATAATGTGTTTTTGTTAAATATGAAATTGTTTTTCTTGATTAGTGTTGTTTGCGACACTGATGTTAACTTACATGTTTGATCGCTTCTTGTCTCTATTTAACTTTCATTGCAAAAATGATCTTTTCGATTGATTGGGTTGGATTTATTGAGATGTAAGTGACATTCTGAACCAGGAGAATGACACACGGGGGAAAACTTTGATGCCAAAGAGTGTCATGACCATCTCATGAACTTTCTTTGTATGTTACATCTCAACTTCTATCTAATTTGCAGGTTGTGTTGTGCACGTTCAAGAAAGGTTGTTTATATATTCACTGTAACAACACATTTGCACAAGGCACTCATTTTTTATGTACAGTATGCCTTTATATTGTATAGTATCTGAGCGTTTTCTATTATTTATATCGGCGCATGTACTAGAGTATTAAATAGTCTAAAGAACTGGGTAATTTGAACAATGTTGGAATAATATTTGTGTATGCTGTTAGCCTGCATTTGTGTAAAAATGTACGAGTGTTTGTAAAACTGTGTGGTTGTGTGTGTTTTGGAAGGGATGCTCTAATCTTAGCAGGAATTTTAGTGAAACTTGTCAATTAAAAATGTATGACACGCTAGGACAGTAAGGCTTCAATCAATACAGATTTCCCTTTTTAAATCAAACAGGCCAAATGAAAAAGAATAGGCACTATAAGATGTCTGCCGGTAGGCAGCGTCTCAGCAGCCCATGGGCAAGTTTTTATGAATCATTGCTTTCTCTGGAAATGTTTTTTTGTATATAGCACGCTAATAGTTATGCAAGTGAAGGTTAAAATTGAATAAAGTCAGTTGCTGGGAAACGTCGTCTGGTTGAATTTATAGCCTGCACACTACATTCAGTTATGTCCTCAAAGAACATCGAGGTACTTGTACTGGATTTTACCTGTTGTGTACTGTATGTATTTTATGCTCCGCCCATAAGCAGCTACATTAAATGTCACCTGTACGAATCAGAAGTTTCACTTTAGTAATTTATTGATCGCAGAATTTGATATTGGTAATGGGGTATTTTTTAAGTTATTGCTATTGTTACTGAAGGATCTGAATACTTCTTTTACAATTGGCATTCACAAATTACAAGCAAATAAAAAATACTCATTTTGCCAACATATTCCCCATCAGCTGGCCTTATTGCAGTGTTATTACTATACATGTGTATCATGTATCACATTTTTACAAGATGTTCATATATTCTGAGATATTTCAGGTGATGGGCTTTACTAATGATATTTGCCTGTAGAAATACAAGCAAATAATATTTGAGGACTTAATTTAACAGCATTGCACATTTTAAAAGATTTGTATATCCTGAAAGAAAAAAATAGTTGTCAGATATGGTGGGCTTAAAAGTATTATTTGTAATATTTGCCTGTAAAAAATACAATTAGAGTACTTAACTCTAATTGTATTACTACCTCAGATTTGCTCCTTACACCAATGTATAGTTTTCTTTATAACCCCAAGAGAGAGGATAGTTTCTATAGTACAGTTTTTTCTCCAACCTCATACATTATAAGATAAGTAACACATTTCTTTTAATATTTCTCTGTCATATGTCTATTTTATTTATTTATTTGTATTATTTGCAACTGGACGTACGTGCACGTGACGCACGGTGGGACACACAGGTTTACGTCAGGACGTCACCCCCCCTCTCCCCTCCCCCCAGTCTAGCTGGGAAGAAAAAAAAAACTTTTTTTTTTTTGTATCGGAGGAATCAACAGCCGCCATCTTGACGCGGCTCGGAATCGGGATTTCGGGGGTAGCATTAATTTTAAAAACCGATCCGAGCCACTCAGACGGACCCGAAACGGCTTTTTTCCGCGCTGGGAACCGACGTGTTGGTTCTGCCGACGAGATTTGACGCAAACATGTGAGGATTACTCGGCTTTTTATCGTCTCCACAGCCCGCTGTATATTTGATTTCCCTTTTAGAGAGCGCCGCTTCTCGCCGTACCCTCCGCCGCGAGTCGCTGTATTTACCGGGAGACAGCGACTAGAAAAATAATCCGGCTCATAGAAAATATTTCTTGAATTTTGCTCTTTTTATTTAAGCCCGGGTCCGATTTTATGGCCGCTCGCTTCGACTGCGAAAAAGATGATTTCGCACCGACGCGAAACCGGCGATCTGCGGGGGAAGGGATTTTCTTACGCCCCGTGTGATATTTTATGATCGCCATTTATTTATTGTCCTCGAAGCGAAATAATTTTTCGGACGCGATTATTGAGGATAATTATGTGGGTGTTGGGTGTTGGATTATCATGGGGTGATCTTCGGCGGCGAAGCGTGGCGCTGTTGCCTTCCTTTTGAAAGCCTTTCTCTCCGGGCAGCGTTTCTCCAGTCTTGTCAGTCAAGAAAGAAAGAAAGGAAAAAAAAACCGAAAGAACAACAGTTAAATTGCTCTGTTTTGAGCAACGTTGGGAAAAGTCAAGAGTTTTCAGCAGCCTCAAAGTTGGACTGTTATTTCCCTGCATCATCATCAGCCTTCGATAACACGAGGATGGCTGACAATCTGCTGGAGGTCGGACCCCCCACTGCAAAGCGACCCAAGCTCAATTCACCTCTCTCGGGATCAGACGGCCCAGGTAAGGACGGGGGGACACGGGTTTGACATCCTCAGCTCACGCATGGGTAAAAAAGAATATGTTCCTAATCCTTTGCTGGTTTTAAGAGGACGCATCCACCCTGAGGAAAAGCTGCTCACCAGCCACTTTGCTGGGGCTGTGCAAATATCACCGGGAAACTGTACATAAAGTTCCTGCGAGATTGTTTGAGTAATTCCACACGTGACTAAAGAATTACCACGAAATGCAATCGGTGTAAAAAAAAAAAACAAACCCTGCAAACTTTGCTGTCTTCTCTTCCTCACATCAAGATTGCAGTTGCTCAACAGGGAGTTCGCTCCCAACTTTTCCGTCTTTGCAGGTTTAAAAGCAGAGTTTAAAAAAACTGGCAGTAGCATGTTCATTTTCATCCTTGCCAAGACACCTGCACATTTACAAAGCTGGTGTTCTATGAGCATTGTGACATCCACAGAGAAACTCGTAGTTTGCAATGGGAAATGCTGCCTCTGCATCACTGGAGCTGGCTTGGCTTTAGTGCCTTGCTCACTGACACTGCAGAAACTTGACAGCACAAACGCACATGTTGTTTGATTGAATGATCTGACGTTTCTCAACACTAGGTCAGATTCAGACCATCCTTCGGTCAACGCTTGAATGATCCATGTTGAGTTATGAGAGAAATATCGCGGTGGCTTTTCTGCTGCCAATGTATATGTTAGTAAATGTACACATCGTGGCTGCAGAGCTGAGAGAAGCTGCTGCCTTGATGGGGCTGAGGAGTAGGAACCAGCCCAAAGGTCTGCCTCTTCACCAGCCCAAGGGTCTGCCTCTTCACCAGCCCAACCTGCAGAGCAACTTTGCTCCACAACATGGATGAGATGTACTGTTAAACACCAAAATGCCCTTTTTTTCCAAGTGTACATATTTAATGAATAACAAATAATGTGATTATTTAAAGGTTTATTTGCAGAAATTGAATATAATAGAATCCTCGGAATGCTTCCGATTGTGTTTCATCTAAATTGTACAAATTGTTATTTTCCTTACCCTAGAATGGGCGCTTTACCAGGAGCATGTCCTCTCTACAGAGGCCGCCATGTTTTTTACAGTTTCCCAAACTGGACAACTAAGCGCCTTTTTGAGTTTTTATGACAACTGAAGGCTGCCACAGGTTCTCATTCTCGTTCGGAAGGGGAGGGCGAGCTGAGGGGTATTCAGCTGCAACATGCAACTTCACCACCAAATCCTTCACACTGAACCTTTAATATAAAAAGCTGATCACACATGGTACATCACACCATCAATGCACCTGCAAGACTTGTACGTGCTCCACAGACACAAGTGTCCCAGTGTTGTTCAGGCTCTGATTCATGCATGTGGTTGGAAGTTGACACAGCAGTGCACACTGTCGTGGGCATTTGCAGGATTGTTTGATGAGATGAGTTTAACCACGTCTGCCATGTGGATTATGCAAAAACGTAACCAAACTCATATCCACCAATCTCGGTATGTGGCCGGATGCAGGATTTGTTTTAATTTTCTTTAACATTGACGGTCAACACAAATTGTATAATCCTCATATTTGATTTTCTGCTGTTTAGCACCACGCTTGATAACAATAAATCCTTCAACTTTTGAGACAGCTTTTCTCTTTTATATTTCTACTGTAACCACGGGACAGTCGCGTGTAGGATTGTTTGGCCTTGATGGAGACGTGTGCTACACTGAGTGCCATTCTAGATTTATTCCCCAGGATAGAGTCTTCTAGATCTTCAGGCCATGAGGAATTTAACAAGGCATGTAACTGGTTCACTTGAGCTTTTTAGTTACATAATTTTGCTAGCTGTATGTTGAAGCTGTTTTGTCTTTATCTGATGATCGAGAGTTGAGTCAATATATCGTCAGTTTCCCACATTCACATTACTAATCACTAGATAAAGTTGAGCACAAGGATGGTATGCTTTCAAAGATATCCCTAGTTTGATACACACCAATAATTTGGAATTGCCACCCATCTGGTTGGAGGTAAAAGTTAATCGCATGTAAGTTATAGTAATAACTTGATACAAACATGGCACTGTGGCTACAGAGAGGATGCATGTGAAACTTCAATGTCAGGTTCAGATGTGTTGGACATTTTCTGGAGGTTTTCCTGCCACCCCCCTTGTAAAATGTCCAGAAAATGTCCGAGTGAGCCCATGTGAGAATGAAGCAGGGAATTTTTGCCAAAAACTCACAGCGAATGATGGAGCGGGCCATACATGTACACGAATTCAACAAAGATGTCACCGTCAGTGCTCGGGCCCTTATTAAGAGTAGAGCTGCCACTAACCATTATTTTCATTCTTAATTAGTTGCTGATTATTATTGGTATATTGTTTAATCTGTAAAATGTAAGAAAACATTAAGGATGTCTATTACATATTTTCCAAGTCCCGGTTGACATTTTGAGGGGGTTTGTCCTACCAGCACTCCAAAACCAAGACAATTTAAAGTCTACAATAACATAACAGAAAGTCAAAGATATATGAGAGTGAGGAAATAAGTTTGCATTTTTGTTATACATCTGCATAGTGTCCATATTGTATACTTGCACTTACATACATAGCTTGACTGATATTCATTGTGCAGTCATTAGCACCAAGCATTGAAAAGGTATCTCTCATCTCAGTGAGGCTGTATGTTGGATTTCACCACTGCATGCACCTCATTACTGTCATCTGACAGTTCATAATGACCGGTACAGTTACTTAATTCAAATTGAAGTGGAGATTCAGAGCGTCTGTGTCTGCTATGTGGAAACAACTGAGAAGATTCTTTGTTTTGTCTGACTTGTTTTCTGTGGATAGCTGCATTATCAGGACGTCTTGACAGAACTCGGTCTTCAGCCAAGGTAGTGCATCTTTTCAGAGGTTGACAGGACCTTTCACTGGGCAATAAAGCAGCCCGGCACTGGGCCTCCTCCTCCCCCACTGCTGCCACAAGCCCCTTCTATCTCAACACACTCACGCACACACTCACACACACACAGTATGACATTTCCCAGTGTCTCCTGTTCTCTTTGAAGTCCTCGATGCGGCTCAGGGTCTTAAGTACACTGAGAAGATTTTAAGTGCCAGGGTGCAGATGGGAGGATAAGCACAGTTTTTTTTCTTGAGTTGGAAAAAGCCCTAATTCTAAGAAAATTTGGAGGCTGTAGGGGTGTAACACTACACAAAAATCACAGTTCCGTACATACCTCAGTATTAAGGTCACGATTTGGGACGTTTCCGGTACAGTAGAAACAAGGAACAGAAAACATTAAACAGATTTTTTTATTCAACCCTTTTTAAATAAACGGACTATGGCTGTCTTTCTTATAAAGGGCTGGTGTGACTTGCTGCCTGAAATGTGGACAAGAGGGAACTTCGTAACAAGGCTGGATGACTTTCAGTGTGTGTTTGAACCCTGCGTTCTCAACAACAAAGAACGGCCGCATGTCCGCTGCTATTAAAACACCTATGACATAGGGATGTCTGGATTAACCGGTTTTACAATAACCGCGGTGTGATAACGTTACGATATCATAACCGTAAGAATTGTAAAAACTACGATATCTAACTATGGTGTCCTGCCTCTTGCGAGTCACGTAATTTGTGTGTGCGCAGTGTGGTGAAATCTCTCGCGAGTCACCTTTTGAGTGCGCGAGCCACTGAAACGTTACTTGAGAAGAGGGGACTGACTTAACGGCCTTATTTCCACCAATGCTGGACAAACAACTTCATCGGAGGAGTTCACAGCGAGCGGAGAAATCCTTGTTTACTTTTGGTTTCTGACCAGCGGGGTGTGTGTGTGTGTGTGTGTGTGTCAGGAGCGGCTGACACACACACACACTCCTTCTCTCTTCCTGTTAAGCGTTATAAGTGTAGCCGAGAGTTTAATTTACCTGTACTGAAAAGTAAAAGTATAATAAGGACATAAAGGAATGTGGCTTGAACAAGGACACGTTAGCTTTACAAAACTAGTCAATTATTTGCTCCCATAACAGAACCACTTCCGTTGCTGACCCTTCAAAATAAATCTCCCACACAGCTTATGGCAGGAAACACAAATTTAGTGACCTTCCACAATAAGGCGATGAATTAAAATAGCTTACTTTAAAATAGATAAACGTTACACTATAATAACTAACTGGAAGTTAATGATAATAATAAATATTTTAGTTCATAAGCTATATTATTATACTATCTATAAGCTTTATATTGCTTGTAGTATCGATAATCATGAAAACTGTGAAGCCGTGATATTTCCTCGGACAATCGTGGCACCAACATTTCATACTGTGACATTTATAATTGCTTCGACACTCTAAATTGTTTGCTGGCAGCCACTTAAATGCAGTTGGGAGCTTGTACCATTAACGTTAGTGGGACATCACTGATGTTCGACGTGCTACCAGCTATATACTTTGCAGTTGCGCAATGTCAGTGCACAGCTTTTGAAAGATCCTCTTTCTTTGTCATTATAGTCGACTGCGAAACGGAACTCTTCCCACACAGTAAACTTACGTGATGAGGGAGGGTCTTCAAACTTCTGTTTGTCTGCGGTCGCCATAACTGTGAGCCGACAGCAAATTTGGTTCTCCGCTAAAGTTGTTCCTCGGTATTTGAGACCCACATGCACACAAATAAGTTCCACACTTGGAATAGTTGCACTCAGTTTAGTTAATGCACCCCTGTTCTGTGAAGAATTCATAGTTTGCAGCCTCGCTGTGCATCTTTCTTAAATTCACTTGGTTTCTTTGAATTGGAAATCTGTGTTTAGAACTTACATCATATCATGGATGACATAGTTTTTGTGCTACACTCCTGCAAGACACTTCATCCACATGTGGTTACTTATCCTGGGTACCCCTGAATTTTCTTTTGGAAATGACATCACTTCTTAGAGAAAACATCACCTCATTTAGATGGTTTTCAAATTAAAACATTTCACTGTAAAAACTTCAATCTTATTAAAATCTTTACTTTGATTTGTTCAGT